TTTTATTTTCTTTATAGATACAGAAATTGTTACATGGCAGCACATGTTACATGGAAGCACAGGATAACTACTACTAAACATGTAATCCTGCAGGAACTCATATGCTCATATATTATGTTACTATTATTAACTTAGAAGTTAAGAGAGGTCTCATGGCTATTGTGAGTATTTGCATTGGGCCAATTTATTGTGTTTTATGTTTAGAAAGAATGAAGAAATAGTGAGTACTTATCTTTTCCTTTCTTGGTGTATATTTATTGTCATAGAACTGGGTTTCACAAACACATTTTCGTACAAGTTCATTTACACTTTGACCATATTCTACTCAAATACTGATTATGCTCTTCCTCCCCACTGTTCTTAGTTTCATCCCTTTCTCAGACAAGTTCACTGCTATATTTACCTTGTTTACTCATAGAGATTCTTATTAGTCTACAATAACTCTAGATTCCATGGAGGCTTTGTACAGGACTGAGTGTTTGATACTCAGTAAATAGTCTTATAGAGAGCTAATAGTACTATGTCTGCCTTGGGACTTTGCCCATGCCAAAATGCGTGCTGAGGTTTATGTTTCTACAGTTGGGGGACTCCAGGCCCCTGGGATGATGATGCATGAAAAAAAAAAAAAAAAAACAAGAAAAGGAAGACTGATTTGATTATTACTGAGGACAGTTTGACTGCCAGACTAACTTAATTGAAATATATGTTATAAATAAAGACATAATTGCATCTGATTTCCAGATCTCAAGAGAAAAGAGGTGGCTATTATATATCATTATCATTACATGGACATGTTCCCTATTAGTTTAAACTATTTTAGTTTTTTTATGGCTTATATGAAATCTTCTTATTTGGAAGCATTAAGACTGAATGTCCGGTAAAATCTGAAACATTTTGTGTATAATGCAGAAGTCCTGAATATGGCTTGCTTGAGCCCCTAGCCTACCACAACTTTATTACAATAATCTGAAATGCAGAAAGTTAGGAATTCAATATATACTAGAAGCTACAGGGCAAAATGATAATATCATTTATTCTGTTTTCCAAAGTTGTGTTCCCTCTATTTCATCAGTAGTATTCAAGAGTTTTGAAGTCCTTGAGTTAGTGTTAAGAGAAGTCAGTGTTAGTCTGTATTTAAGGTTTATGAAGAACTTTCTAATAGCAATCTATTTTAAATAGTAGTAAGGAGAGTAAAAGAATATATCTGAACCACATAACACATGACTTACTTTTGTGCCTCACAAATAACATTTTACTATTTACTAAGACTTCTTATAAAGTACACATTTGACTGTTGCAAAAAATTTATAGCTATCTTTTGTACACTTTATTTCTTCAGTGTTTTAGTGTATTCAGAACTTGCAGTGAATAATGAGAAAATCTTATTTAAACTTCCCATTCATTTTATATGGGATTCTGCCCTTTCCCTTGTCTCGTGAATGTGTGTGTGTTCGTGTGTGTGTGTGTGTGTGCACGCGCGCGCGTGCACACGTTTGTGTGTGTGTGGTACCATTCCTCACACATCATCCACCTTTCTTTTTGAAACATGGTATTTAATTGCCTTGAATCTCACCCAGTGGTTCAGGTGGTTTTCTTTCTTTCTTTCTTTCTATCTTTCTTTCTTTCTTTCTTTCTTCCTTTCTTTCTTCCTTTCTTTCTTCCTTTCTTTCTTCCTTTCTTTCTTCCTTCCTTCCTTCCTTTCTTTTTTTTTCTTTATATTTAAATTGAAATCAGCTTGTTTTATGTGTCAATCCTAGTTTCCCAAACCTCCTCTCCTTCTCTGATCCCCCCCATCAACCTCCATAACATCCCCTTTCTGCTCCCCAAAGAGGTTGAGGCCTTCCATGGGGAGTCTTTAAAGTCTTTCATATCATTTGGAGCAGGGCCCAGGCCCTCCTCCATATGTCTAGGCTGATGGAGTATTCCTCTATGTGGAATGGGCTCTCAAAGTCCATTTGTATACTAGGGATAAGTAATGATCTACTACCAGATGCCACATAGACTGCCCACTCCTCCCAAACAACACCATTCTAAGGGAATCTGGCTTGGTCTATGGTGGTTTCCCAGATATTAGCCTGGAGTCCATGAGTTGCCCCTTGTTCAGATCAGCAATTTCTGTGGGTTTCTCAAGCCTGGTCTTGACCCCTTTGCTTATCACTCCTCCTTGTCTGCAAATGGATTCCAAGAGTTCAGCTCAGTTTGTAGATGTGCCTGTTTATTTCTGCTTCCATCAGCTACTAGATAATAGATCTATGATCGCACATAAGGTAGTCATCAATCTCATCATCAGGGAAGGGCATTTAAAGTAGCCTCTCCACTATTGCTTAGACTGTTAGACTTGTTGATCTCTGAACATGTCCCTAGTGCAAGTTTTCTCTTAAAACCTATAATGGCTTCTCTATTATGGGATATCCTTTTTGTTCTTCTCTATTCTTTCCCTGACTCATTCTTTCTACTCTGTCATGACCACCACTCCTCCCCTCTTCCTCCTTACTCGCTCTCTCCTCTCCCACTCCATGCACCCAATTTTCTTGGTAGATCTTGTGACTTTTCCCTTCTCCAGATGCAATTGGCTAGTTTTCAAATCCCAGAGTTCCATCTGTCTCTGTGTCCCAAGCAGTGGAAATACAATGATGACCATTTGCACTCAGCATTTTTATGTGTCTTCTGCAGTCAAACTCTGGTCCTCATGGCAAACACTTGACACACTGACTTGTAACCTATATAATTAATGTTCTAAGATTCAACTTCCTTATTCTCAAAATAAATTGTTTTGGTTAATAAAGGAAAAGGCTTTTGATAGCATATGTTCAGCCCTTGGGAATGCCCATGAGAAGCTTGCCTTCAATATACACTTAGGATTGTGCATTTCACTTACGCAATCATCTACCCCACTCCAAAAAAACTAACAATCAAACAAAAATCTCTTAGGTCATGGCTCCAGATTACACTTTGAACAATTTAAACAGAGACTAGAGACTATGAATCTGGTCATTTGTGCAAATGAAAGATTTCCACAACAAAGATATTGCTAGGCTTATTTTTAAGCAGACACTCCATAATAAGGATTGAGCCACACTTATCTAAGCAAAACCTCTTTCCAAAAAACCAAAAAACAAAACAAAACAAACCAGAAATCTGCTTACTGAATGTGTCACTAATAGAATTCAGGAGAAGTGGTAGAGGTTGAGGTCTCAAAGACTCAGAAATAAGAGGCCTTGTAGGCTCAGGAGTTGGCCTACAAGAACAGGATGGCATCCTTGGAGGTAAATGTAAGAGTTCTGCACTTAACCTCTCAAATACCAATGGCACAAAGCTAGACAAGAATATGGAAAAAACACTAATGCAGGAGAAACTTGAAGCAATAGAATTGGTGTTGTAAAGGATTTAGTAGTATATTTGCTTAGGAGATGTTAATCACATAGAGTAGAATTTGGCTGAGGAAGTACTGCTTCCAAACTACCCCAAAGACAAGCAGCTAACTAGGCCTGTTAGAGATAAGTAAGATTTATGATGCCAGGATGTAAATGTTCACCAAAGAATGGGATGTGCGAGGGGGCAGCATGGGGTCACAAGCAGTGTTAAGTCCTTGCCTGCCATAAAGTCCCTGGTTCTCTTCTTGAGAAAAAACTAATTCTGCCAGGTGGCCAAGATGAACTTGGGTAGCAACTATTTTGGAAAAAAGTACAACACTGGTATGCTCAAAGTAAAATTATAATGGCATTCACTTTACGTGATATGATAAATGATGCATTAACAGGCATAGTGGAAGGGGATTTTAGAAATTTGTTTAATATTTGATACATTTAATCATAATCTAAACTTAGAATATATATTCACATATATATATATATATATATATATATGTGTGTGTGTGTGGTGTGTGTGTGTGTGTGTGTGTGTGTGTGTGTGTGTAATTTAAAATTAGAATAGTAAACTCATAGGAGTGTCACTAAATTTTACTACTGAATTGTTGGCTGAAGCAAGCATAGGAAGCATAAAAAATTTTCAGAGTATCATTATCATAATTAATTTATATAATAAATGTTATTCATATTGATCACTAGCTATTAACCTGGAATACAGTATTGCTTTTAGTTTTAGAAGCAGAAATGCTAAATTTGGATTTGACTTCTGTATTTACTATATATGAGAACTGTATCATCTCCTGCTACCTCTTTATGCCTCATTTTCTAATCTCTAAAACAAAAAACAATGTAGACCTGCAATTACATGAGACATAGTAGAGAATCACCAAATATTAGCAATATGTAATAATTATATTCATAGTGCAATTTCATAAAGTAAATGTTTATGTGGAAAAGATGTTGTCTCTGATAAGTATTCCCTGGTGTTCGATTTTCCTCAAGATTCTTCAACTAGAACATAGTAAATGTTCAATAAATACATGGCATAAATACATGCAAACCTAAACATTTTCCTTGTGCACATGGAATAGTAAGTGAAGCTTAAGATTCTCCTTCCAAGTGTGCAAAAACCAGAGCCTTTAAGATGTTCAGAAAGTCTTGCAAGTTTAATGTTCCTTCTATTGTGTGTGAAAAAATGAAGCAATAATGAAGAGATGTGAGACATAGAATGACAAAAGAGCAAGCCAAGAGTAAACTAAACAAGTTATTGAATACCTGTTAGCTGCTATACTTCAATAGTCAAGGTTTTCTCAGGGTTTGATTATGTAATAGTCTAAGGACTACTCACATCCTTAGGTGTGAAGAAGAGTTCCCAAAGTGTCCAAGGAGCAAGTATTAAGACAGAAAACAACATGTGAATTAATGAAAAAACAAAATTGTCTTGAGTTCATTAAGACTGAAACTATAGTCAAATTTTGTTTGCTATTGGCTTCTGATCAAATGGATGGAGACAACATGTATCAGGAAGTTATGAGACAAGAAGAAATATATGTCCACATGATTACATGATGACTCACTAAAGGTAAAACTGTTTTGCAGATTCTTCAGCTCAGAATTTTGTATGATCTCAAGATCACAAAAATGGTGAATCAAAACAATGTGACTGAGTTCATTCTTTTGGGAATTACAGAGAATACAGAGCTGAGGAAAATTTTAGCTGCTTTCTTTCTAGTTATGTACATGGCCACAGTTTTGGGAAATCTACTCATTGTGGTAACCATAACCAGAAGCCCTAGTCTGAGGTCACCCATGTACTTCTTCCTTTTATCTCTGTCACTCATGGATGTCACTTACTCTTCTGTTATTGCTCCAAAGTTGATTATAGATTCCCTTTCTGAGAGGACTATCATCTCATTTGAAGGTTGCATGACCCAGCTATTTGCAGAACATTTCTTTGGTGGTGTGGGTATCATCCTTCTTATTGTAATGGCCTATGACCGCTATGTGGCCATCTGTAAGCCCTTGCACTACATGACCATCATGAGTCCTCAGGTGTGCTGCTTGATGGTAGGAGGTGCTTGTGTGGGAGGATTCATGCATGCAAGCATTCAGCTTCTCTTTATGTATCAAATACCATTCTGTGGCCCCAATGTCATTGACCACTTTATGTGTGACTTGTTTCCATTGCTGAAACTGGCCTGCATGGATACACATATCTTGGGTCTCTTGGTCATTCTCAATAGTGGGGTGATGTGTGTGTCCATTTTCCTTATTCTCATTGCTTCCTACATGGTAATCCTCTGCTCCCTCAAGTCATATAGCTCTGAAGGGAGAAACAAAGCTCTCTCCACATGTAGCTCACACTTCACAGTGGTTGTATTATTCTTTGTTCCATGTATTTTCTTATATATGAGACCTGTGGTGTCATTTCCAATAGACAAAGCAATGGCTGTGTCCTTTACTGTTGTTGAGCCAATGTTAAATCCCTTGATCTATACCTTGAGAAATGCAGAGGTGAAAAATGTTTTGAAAAACATGTGCACAAAATGGGGGACAAGGGACATCACTACTGTTAAGACATGAAGAAATATTTCCTACAACTAGATCCAGTCCTCTGGGGACAAGAGATTTAGAACAATCTTTTGAATAAAGTCCCATAAAGATAAATGTTGGCTACTCTCTAGTTTCCAGGACACTTTACTGAGACATTTTATGATAATTATCCTCCTTACAAGGAAACACACACACACATACACTCACACACACACCTGCATTTTCAACAGTATAAAACTATTCAGTTTAATGTTCTAACTTCTTTCCCTCTTCTCTACTGGAATGAGCTCTTCTGGGGGTTTTCCTTGACTACTTTCCCATGGCTTCTTTAGTTTCCTTGTGAATTCCTACTTCAAAAGAAAAATGAAGTGTTTCTTGTCTTGCTCAGTTATTGCCATTGTTTGTTCTCCACTTCTACATCTAGATTTTATCCTTAAGATTCAAGGCTTAAAAAAAAAAAAAAACTCTTCACTAGAATATCTCTTGGATTTTAGTCTTCGCTCTCACAGTTTGTAATCTTTGGAAACATATGGGCTATATTCTCTCCTGATTGTTGGATTCCCATTAAAAAAAAAAAAAAAAAAAAAAAACATTCCTAGTTGGTAAATACATTCTCATTAATACTCTTGCTCTCATTAATACTCTTGATGGAATTTAAGTCTAAGAAAGACTTAGAGACCTACATGTTCACACAATAAAAGAAGAAGAATGAGAGGCACAATATATCTAAGTACCTTAGGAAACCAAATCCCCCAATTTGCGTGTTGCCAAGTATCCTTTCAGAAAACATTATCAGATTATTTGTGTGCTATTTTAATAAAAACACCAACACTACACTCAAATTCTCAACTATTTCTTGCTTTTATTTAGAGAGGGAACTAAAGGGATGTTTCCTAGTTGACTGATGATATTTTAAAATCACGTGTTCTTATCTTGAAGTTAGATCTTCTTTACAAAAGCAGAAAGTATTTGTTATTATATCCAAGATGTCAGCTTCCAGAGACAAGTTGTTCATTTCCTTTAAGATTCTACTATGATGGCTAAGCATTGGTAGTCCACACCTTTAATCCCAGCACTTGGGAGGCAGAGGCAGGTGGAACTCTGTGAGTTCAAAGCCAGCCTGGTCAACAGATCAAGTTTCAGGACAGGTTCCAAAGCAATACAGAGAAACCAACCAACAAACAAACAAAAGATTCTACTATGATAATATCATACAGAAATACTTGCACTTAACATTGCAGTGATGGGATACATGTTAATCTTTGGGCCCCAAAGAATTTAGGATAACATTTCCTTAAAGCAAATATTATGATAATATGTCAATAATTGCAGGATCAGAATGGAATTAAACCATTTAAATTGCAACATTCATTTGTAAAATGTATTTGGTCAATAGGCATTTTAACCCCAATGAAAATCAAATACCTTGAGTAAATACAGTGTCAATTTTCTGTTATTCATCACAAAATGTGGGGAAAGCTTGATGTTTCAGAGGTTGTTCTAGGAGCTGTATGTAAGATAGTGGATGAAAGGATGTTTTGTTATGGTTTGTATTAGTATTTTAAGGTAGGAGAAAATTTATAATAATTTTAAGTTAAAAACTGGCAGAGCAGTTGTTGCTTCTTACAAAATGTCTTTGAAATAGTGTATTACTGTGAGAAAGGGCTTTCAGGGGGATTTCTATACTAATACATGAAAGTTACAGTATAATTTTCTAAAAGCAAATCTATGGAAATAATTTAGTAGGTAAAATAGGGAAGGTTATCAGAAACAAGTCTAGAAGTAACAACATAGAAATAGCAATACATGATGGTCTGACATTGACCAAGACCAAGACCAAGACCAAGAGGTTAGAAACATGGCAGAGTACTGGTTAGAAAATTCTCTTAATTTTAAATATTTAAATTCAAGCACAATATATACATCAAGTTGACTTTATCCCGAGGAGCAACAACCAGGAACATATACATATTGGACTTCATCCTAGTTTTTTCCCACATGGAAGTGACCTCCAAACATAATACCCTGTAATGTACTTCCTACCAAAAATTTTTCACTGATACATATAGCAAATTATATGAGTATTTTTTGCTCAGTCTCATAGACCAAGGACTTTTGTCTGGCAAAACAATACCAACAAATTAGATTCTTTATAATACTGTACTAGATTGATAACTGCAATGAAATCAACATGATTATTCTAGATGATATTGCCATAATCAACTTTCTATGCTATGATAATTTTTGGCATAGTCTCTATTTGTGACATTTTATGAACCTTTATCTATCTATGCCTCGACTACAATGCCATTCCCTAAAATACCACATCTAATGTCTCAGTTAGGATTTTTATTGCTATAATTAAACACCATGACAGAAAACAACTTTGGGAAGAAAGAGTTTATTTCACCTTACAGAATTAAGTCCATCATCAGAAGTACGGGTAGGTTCTCAAGGCAGGATGCTGTAAGAAGGAACTGAAGCAAAGTCTCTGATGGGATGCTTTGTATTGGTGCACTCCTTCTTGATTCCTCAATTTATTTTGTTCTACATCCCAGGAACACCTGCCCAGGAAAGCATCATTTGAGGTGGATTAGACACATTTACATTAATCATCAATCAAGATCTATAAGCTAATCTTATGTGGGTGAATTTTTTCAGCTGGAGTTTTGTCTTCTCAGATGACACATTTATAAAAAATAGCCTGTATACTAAGTATGATGATAGGTTACTTTTATGTTGCATGACTCTCCTGCTGTCACCAAGTAAGGCAATTTCAATATTTCCACATTTTTATCTTGATTATCAGGCAGTTCTCAAGGGGTGACAAGAATTTTCACCTTCAATGCTGGATAAGAACACTCTTCAAATCTGAGCCACCATGTCTTTTTGGTGTCTTCTCTTCTTTCTATTGAGTATTGAATATGAACACAATAGCATTGTTATTTAGACACTATGGTGAGGTTAACAGTTTGCATAACTTAGGCTTTGATGTTGTTTTTTTAGTCTGCTGAAAGGAATTCATCTTCTTTGTTGGTAGCATTATGTGGAAGGCAGGGCAATGGGTGATATAAAAAGTTTATATAGTGTATGAATACTGTAAATATGGTATAGCAAGTTGCAAAAAAAAAAGATATACCTAAAGTTGAATAGTTCTAAACTTTAAGAATTCCAAGTAATTTTGAGAATATATATATATATATATATATATATATATATATATATATATACATGTGTGTGTATGTAAGTATGTATGTATGTATGTATGCATCCCATTGCTTTGCATTGCACATACTGGCCATCTAATTTGTGTCTATGATTGTTACCAAGTACGTGTTTTTGAGAGTAATGAGAAGCCAGCAAAAATGGACAGCATCATTAATATATTACGTAGAATCATAAATAACAATGTATAGTGAACTGGATTGAAACAAGAAATGAAGGAGTCTTCATGTCAATACTGACAGCATTTGCATAGAAAAAATACAGGATAAAACCGCCTAATGGGAACACAGATGTCTGGAAAGTAGGAAGTTTCTATATGAACTGACTAGATAATACCTAACTATTTAAGTCTTTCTCTTCCTCTGTAACCTTCATCAATAAATTGTTACATGTGAAAAAAAACTCAAGACTTTTGTATAGAAATCTTTATTCAAATTGTTCACTTTTAGTGTAAAACTGAATATTTAGGCAGAACTGTTTTAGGGAAACATTATTTTCTTGGTTCAGCACATATTAGGAACAACCATAAATTATATACACAATTTTTGATGAGTTAATAATTCTGGAAGGATATGGGGGGCATGATTAGAATATGAACAAGGGGGTACAAGACCATGATAGGGAAAACCACAGAGACAGCTGACCTGAGCTAGTGAGACCTCATGGACTATGAATTGACAGCTGGGAAACCTGCCTATGACTGAACTAGACCCTCTGAATGTGGGTAACAGTTATCTGACTTGATCTGTTGGGGGGACCCCAGGCAATGGCACAAAGACCTATCCCAGGGTCTTAAAATGGATTTTTGGATCTGATTCCCTATGAAGGGATACATTGCTCAGTTTTGATGCAGGAAGAGAAGGGCTTAGTATTGCCTTAACTTAGTATGCCAGTCCTTGTTACCTCTATAAGCAGCGGATAAGAAGGTTAGAAGTGTCAGATCTACATGACCCCAACTGAATGGCATTCCCCTACATATGGTATTGTGGTGGGGGGTTGGGAAGGGAGGGTGTTTAGAGTGCATGGGAGAGGGCAGAGAGGGCAAAAGGGAGGGAAGGAGGGAGGGAAGGCTGGAGAGGAGGGAGGGAGGGAGGGAGAGGGAACTGGGATCGACATGTAAAATAATAATAATAATAATAATAAAAAAAAAAAAAAAAACGCTTTGACTCCAAAATTTAAGTTGAAGAACAAGTTTCTGGGGAAAAGATTTTCTATTTTTGTTTCCACAGAAAATGAAAAGATGTGGATTCCTTCCAGACTAATGTGGTTTGATCACGCCAGACCGCCTGAAACAGAGTACAGGCTGATCCTACATTCCAAACGGCTGGACATGGCTGCCCTGCAGACTGCAGCTAGGATATCTGAATCTTCTTCGAATCCCCCAAGACAGCGCCCCTTACCAGCAGGAAGTAGTTTGGAAAGAGCGACGCCCAAATTCCCAAATGTTGTGTATAAATGTTTGTTTTCATTTAATTGGAATTTGTTATATAAAATTAAATAAAAATAAATAAATAAATAAAAAAGAAGGTGAGAAGTGGGGAGGCAGTGAGTGGAAAAGGGGAGGGAGAGGGAACTTGTTTGGTAAGTAAAATGAAAAATATTTTTTTAAATAAAAACGATAAATTTTTCACTTAAAATAATTCTTAAATTATTTTTAAACTGAAAACAATCTTATTTTACATAACAAACCCAGTTCCCTTTCCCTCCAATCCTCCCATTTCTCACAATCCCCCCATTCCACTCCACATCCACTCCTCAAGGAGGCTGAGGATCGCCTTGATGGATCATCAAAGTCTGTCACATTA